TTAATGTTGAGTTCACTTTAGACACTTGACCAAATATAGCGTTTTGCATAGGTATAAAAAAATGCTGATTCAGTGTGGTTCACTTACTCGCAGTCTAATGAATATTCCGTTTATTTTTTCCGTTTAATACATAGCAAATTGTTTTACAATTATGAAGAGACATTACCATATTGAACGCGATTTTAACTTTGTCCTTAAAGAAGCAACCTTCACACCTTCAAGTCTTTTTCGAATCAAGTTGAGTTGGTAAACTGAATGGCGACAACAGAGTTGTCCGGGCGTCAAAAGAGATAAATATTTAAATAGGGAGGCGGGCGCATGCGCGCTTAATTGTTGGACATACTAATGGTTGACATAGTATAACAACCATCCTGATTGCGTGCGGTAACACAATCAACTGGTTTTAACGTAAATCAATTAAAAGGCCACCAACGAGCGGTTGTTAAAACAAACGAGACGAGAAAATTGCCAGGAAAATATTCCAAGCATTTCAGTGCTGCGTGTTTTGTTGCTTCGGGTTCTCAAACTAGAAATTGTGTTTATAAATGTGAAGGCGGCATAGTTTGTTGCATGGCTGGCGGTGAGTGGGCGGTGCATTGTAAAATCATCGAAGAGTTTGAACACTAACATTACAGAAAAAAACATACATGATGAGGTTGTCCTTCGCCGCAGTTTTGTAGGCATCTGAACAACATTAAGGTCCCAATAACCTACACATACAGCAAAACTTCATTTTACAACGTGGTTCACTGGCTGAACTAGGGAGTACGATTTGCGCGCGAACGAATGAAAATGCAAGCTGAGCTTCCGATTGTGCATAATGTTCTCTTAGATTTCTCTCGAAGAAAAATTCATCGTGAACAGTGTGATGGGCCACTTACTTTCAGTCAGTGTCCGCCGTTAGCCCGTCGCCATTAGAGTTCCTTAAAGGAGGTCCCGCTGAAAGATACTCGTCCGGTAATCGTTGGGTAATTTGCTTCAGGGTTCCCCAGGAGTGTTCGGATAGGGGAAACTTTCAGAGGTATGAGCTATAATGTTTCCTCTGTCTCGGTCCCGATACACCTGAGGAAGAACGGAACGCCAACCGCTGCTCTCACTTCCTCTGCAAGGCTTTATGTCAATTTCCCCTGCATACTAGATCGTCTATAAATAGCCCTGCTGGAGCTAAAAATAGTATCAATCCGGAGTCGGTTGCTAAGGCGAGCTGGCCGGAGTAGTAGGGGGGACGGCCTCATGAAGCCGCGGTTTAGCCTTTTAGGTCTAACCGAATATTATGAAAGATCATTTAATATTCGACTTAATCTGCCCACTTGCCGTATCAATTATTCTTTGGAACTTTTCATATATCACAGAGTGAGATGACCAACGAAGTTAAAATACATTAGCATAAGATTGCAACAATTTCATCTTTTTCTTGTAGGCCTATATTCTCTTTTCTTCGATTTTGTTTTACCCTTTCTATTAAATAATGGAAATAATTTGTTGGCGCTCTATGCTTGTTCGTAAAAAAGAAGCGTGCATGTTTTTGTATGCCTAAAATTTTTTCAAATCAAAACTTCGTCATATTTTTAATGGCAAAAACTACTGAACTCACTCACGTGGCATTTCCCCTTATGACATTGTTTAAAAGACAGCGAACCATTTTAGCCCACCCTTCTTGTAATTTTCGACGTGGTTTGGGGCTTTCTCTCCTTTCAAACATCAGTGAGTAACGTATATGTAGTTGAAACGTTTTAACGCACTCAAGCTTGTTTAGCAGAAAAACATAACTATTTGTGTGACTTTTTCGTGAGATTTAACACATGTGCACATAAAAGAAATTTATAGTTAGATCATTTGATAGTCTTCAAAATAATGTGTTCGGAATCATGTATTACACCGACTGAGATGTAATTATGACATACTATAACTGGAAGGATGGAGCATATTTCACAGTATACTCGCTAATGACCGAGATTTAATTTCCGATCCAATTCGATGAGGCGATGATTTACATGAGCTGCAGATCATCAGAATATTCACTTCCATTAGGAGCATAGTTTCGCTTTAAGGGTAATATTGAAGTGAAGAAGTGTAGGATTTAAGAGGCGATCGGTGAAATTGAATGTTGTTTTGGTAAACGGATTAGGCTAATGTATTGTGCAACAGATTCATAATCTCAAATAAAAACTTCGAACCTAAAACATGAAACTAGGATTTGGGGGAATTTTCACAAAATCGCATCCATAACATAACGGGAATTGTGATTTGATTTTATTCTCTGATTTTTATTCATTTATTTTGCACATTCATTTCAATAAATGGCTGAAAACATTTTGCCATTGCAAACTGATCTTTAGCAGTCTAGTGATGGGTGGTGACAGAAACTCTCAAAGAACAGAAAAGCCGTATATGAACAAGTGCCCATGCGAAATAGGCTTCCGGAGCTACGGCTATGTGATCAGCCTTGATGGAGCGAAGACATAGACCCAGCTCTAGACAACATGGCGGTTTCGGGATAGTCCTCTGTTAAGGATTTTTCAGGTGCGAGTGGAGTCGGGACATCGCATCTTATGCTCTACCACCGTCTGTGGTAGAAAGGCCACTTTTGATGTTTGCTTGCAAAGTGGGGTGGTCAAAACAATCAGTTCTTAATGTAAATTACAGTAGATTTGTGGGAAAGAGAGCTGATTGAAAATGTATGCATATTAAGAAGTATGCAAGGCGGAGACAATATTATGGGCTACACAACTATACTGCTTACGCACAGCGCATATCCATGACACAGCTCGGAGTGGCGCGCCCTCTACTGATAGTTTGGAGCGTCTACAAAGATTTATTAAAAGCCCCCCCCATTAAAAGCATAATCATATAAACAAATAAAAATGCATCTCTTAATGAAACTTGAATAAGTGAAATAACTGCAATGAAATCTACTTACATGAATACCACGCTTCGTTCTTATTGTGCATCTTTCTGTGTTTGCTCCTACCGTTATCCAGTGTGAAGTTTTGACGTCAAATTTGACTCAACGAGTTATTCGCAAAGAAGCGGAGAAAGCCTCCATCTGTTGGTTTCTATTTATACTTTATTTTCATCATCATAATTTAATAATTTTAATATTTTTAATTCAATAATTTATGCCTTGATGACAAGCTGCAGGTTCCATAACGAAGTCACCCACGAAACAACACGGAGCTATAAAAAGGAAACAAAGTACACACGTGATCAATGAACTCAACCAAATCGAAAAATCAAAAACTATATATTTGTGTATGCTCATGTGTTGATAAGCCCATTTTGTCACCAGACTTAGCATACGAAACGCCACTAGATTTTAGGGGGTTGTTTCGAATTTTTCCAGAGGAACGCAGAGACAAAAACAGTATTGTTTGTAAAAACTTCTCAACACATGATGATTTAAATAGTTAAATGTATAATTCAAATGGTGTGAGATAATGTACAGTAGAATATATAATGGTATTATATAACATTTATTTTTTTATACAAAATTTTATACAAAATGTTTAATACAAAGTGCTCTGTATCCCGAATGACCCCCGACTTAAATCTGTAAGAACCGATGATTAACCTAACACTTTTACATCAACCTACCACCATTTATTTATTTATCCGTTTTAGTGTATTTTTTGACTTTATAAGCATTTTACTTTTACTCGAAATTTTTACTTGGATTCTTGCCTCTCAGTATCACTCGAGACGGTAAAAATTCGTCGTATCGGCAGAATTGTTTCTCTTATGCCAGCTCTGCATCTTAGAGACGCGTAAAGACATAATATATCGTACTAGGCTACGGGGATTTTTTTTGGTGTGTGTATGTGTCTTTCAATTTTTAAATTCCACCGACCGATTTAGTATTGCAAATGATTTTCATGTCACCAGGAATCACGATCAAAAACAAGAACGGACTGCGTACATGGCCCTGCTGTGGTGTTCATGCACATATACGCAGGCGGCTTGTTCGTGATGGGGGAGAACACTCATAATGCATGTAGGCCGAGTTGTGTTGTTAGTACCCACAATGCCCCGCAACCCCACCCTGGCTGTGTACAGCATTGCCCTGACGTACGCGTTGCTAGTGTATTACCGCTATCCTTTTGCTGTCACTATGCTAGTGAAAAAAAAAATCCGTGTAGAGAATGTGTATATGGACGTACGTACGTGCATGCGCTACATACACACGCAAACCACTGCCATACTATGGAGTGCTAACCCGTCGATGGTGGACAAATCATTGCTCTAAAAACTCTCGATTTGGAACGGTTTCTTGTCCAGGAATCGCATTGGGATCGGTCCGGAGACACAGTGGGACGTCGTGGCGACGTGCCAGGGGGGTTCCTTTGGTGCTGGTGGCCAGGAATACTGCAAGTGGAAGCCGTTTTTATTGTCGCACTGACCGGTGTGGGATAGACAGCGAAGCCGACGGATATTGAGCTCCGTGCTGAAGGCGGCGGCCCTGATAGAAAAATATAAAACCCGTGTGTGGCGGCGGCGAGCTGCAATCTCCAGCAAGAGAATTTTTAATAATACACACCCGGTGCAGACGAAATAAGAAACACACGTACTGTGGTGGATGTTGTGATGGGGTGTTTTGGAAATGGCATGTCCAGTGAAGAGATTGACGAAGAAAGGCGGAGAAAGGACGCCAATAAGAAGATCGAAAAGCAACTCCAAAAGGACAAACAGATCTACAGGGCGACGCATCGGTTACTTCTGCTTGGTCAGTACAAGAGCAAAATGTATATTTCGGTTGAGTGAATAGAAACGTGTGGTCTGTTTGCTCAAACATATTTGGTTGTCAGGCTGCCCAACTCCTCCGTACTGGGGTGGCATCATGTCCAGTGCAGTGGCGGTCATGTTGTTATCACCCAGCACAGCCTTCATGTATTTCCTCCAAAAGTGCATGGTCAAGGCGTTTCACTGAAGATGCTGAAAGTAGGCCCAACTCAAACTCTGTTCGGGAACTGTTACCACATTGTTGTGTTTAATTTTCTGTCTAGGTGCTGGTGAGTCAGGAAAAAGTACCATCGTAAAACAAATGAGGATTCTACACGTAGATGGATTTTCACCAGAGTAAGTTTTTTGTTTTTGTTTGTAGGCCCTATTCGATTAAATTATTTTTTTTTCTCTTTTTGGGGGTCAGCACCACATTTAGCCTAGATCTAAAATGGAGTAAAGACATTGTTACATTTGTTTACATGTTGTGTGGTCTAGTGGTGGGAATGTTTTAGTTCACGAGTTTCCTCAGTTCTACATTTGGAAGGAGAGTCATATAGGGACATCACAAGTTTTTTCCTGCAATGGTATATCAATCATCAGTGAGCATTAAAATGTCCTAAAGAGTCAAATTTAGCAGGGAAAATATTGAATAATTAGGCCTAATGAGAAAACATTTCAAATGTTTCAGAGCAGATCTGTCTCATAGGGTGCACACAGTGCATCAAGTGATGTCTGTGTCAAGTGATGTTCGGCGATGGAATGGGAAATTGGCTCATTGCTTTGATATTTGTCAGTTATTCTTCAACCTAATTTACATACATCATACTATGCCGTAATTTTGTAAAAAGGTGACACCTTTTTTTTAGTACGGTATCGAACTCACAAATAGTGTTAAAACAAAATTACATACATGTACTACTTTTACAAAAGGGTTAGGAAATAACGAACCCTCAGTGGACAAGGCATGTACATGTACCTGCACATGTGCATGTGTACATGGACATGCAATAAGGCCGTACTCCCCGAGAGGTTGACGTACTTTTTAGGAGTATAGTCTAGTGAAGCCATGAAAAAATTGGATGGGGAGTTTCATATGGCCTGTCCCCTTCCACATCCCTGTTGGGCATGACCAGTGTATGCATACTGGATGAAATCCTCAACTTAACATCACCTTTTCACAACAGTCTTCTATAGCGATGACGCCAAACTGGACTAATAGATTTTATCGTGGATCAAGTTGACCAATAAGGAAGATCCACTGATCATGCCCAACATCCCGACTTTCCCTACTCCAAAAGAGAGAGGGGGTTGGGGTTGGGGTGGTGAAGAACTGCGTAGCCTATAAAGTGAAATATATTTTATTGCAGCACAGTGCACTTCACTGACATTGTCGTCTACAGCGAACCGTTTCCTTATATACCTGGCATTGGCGTAATCCATACTTGACAAGCCATTCACATCACAGGAAATACCATCTTTTTTGTCGGCATTTACAAAGATATCTTCCCTTAAGTTGTCCAATCCTGTCACTGGTAATGTCAGAAACTGGGGATCTCTTCCTGTCGGGATGCAAAATTTAAAAAATAGCTGCACATAATAGTTTTTATATTTCTTTATGTTGATTCTGTCTTGTAGAAAAATCGAGTTTCTGATCTTGTATTTAGAATGAGAGAGAGAAACTTCTTCTTTGGAGGTGATATATTATCATCTGTGGACATTATTATGGTGAAATTATGGTGAAAGCACCACTGTTTAAAAGCAGGTGAACTGTGACAATTAAAGTAAACAACAATGTTGGTCATAGCAGAGATAGTGCTTCACTGCCCCTCTTGGCGCATCTCATAGGAGCATATCAGGGGTACATTAGTTTATGCAGTACCAGCGTAGCTCAACCTTGTACCCAAGATCAGAACATGACAGTGTAATACAACACAGTAGCAGGAAAGGCCTATGTGTTGTACCTTGGTGTACATCACTCATGTACTCTCGACTGATGTACATGCGTGTTTGTGGCATAATAATACAACACAGTAGCAGGAAAGGCCTATGTGTTGTACCTTGGTGTACATCACTCATGTACTCTCGACTGATGTACATGCGTGTTTGTGGCATATCTCTTTATCAATTCTCAACCAATAAGAATTCCTGATGTATTGCCACGTTCCATCAATACTCTGCACTTCTGTCCTAACATTTGCCAATCAGCTTCGATGAAGACCCAAGTTTGTGTGAAGACAAATTACACGCCATTTCTTGTCATGTCAGCACGTACGTGTATATTATGTCATTGCTGCAGAAGATGGTGGCGTTAAAGTTAAATAGCTGTGAACTACACCTATATGTAGGACCCTAGGTGCTACGCTGTAGCACTTAGATGATATGTGCACCGCAGTGTAGCGTGCTGGGCGTGCAAGAGTTTAGAAACACAGATACATGTACGCTGTCCCAGACAGCTGCCTTTTCTTGTCACAGCTTTCAGTGTTATGCCCCTGTATGCTGACAGTAAACAAAAGAAATGCAGCTTTCGTCAGGTTTGTTTTTTCATTGGATTGTTGAAATGATTTATTTTATGAGGCCAAAGTGTCAAATTTAGAGTGTCTTACATGTACGTGTATTGGGACCTTCACTGCCTACCATATATGTGTGTGTGTGCAACTGAACTGCAAATTCAGCCTCAATGTGTTGCCTATATTACTAAGGAAATCAGACTTTGATGCTTTCTCAGTTATGTTTGACATTTTGACAATTACAGACAGCCACGTAAATTTTACTTTACAGAAATGGCTTTTTTCCTAACATCTTTGCATCAGCATTCTCAAATGTGCATGCAGATTTCCAAAAAGAAAGCAGTGCAGAGGAATTTGAAAGAGACCGTACCGTTGAGCATACAACAAGAGATAAAACTGACGTTCGTTTGTAGCATGCATGTCCATGCCAACTGAAAGCACACAAATATCCATGGGAGGTACAAGGCAACCTCACCGAGTTGTAAACATAGTTATATTCAAGCAATGCTTTGAAATAGCATTTCCTGAGTTTTACAGAGGGACGCAGATGGCAGCTTGTTTGCCTGATCATAGCAAATATACATGGAGTCACTTCCACTCTAATAATAGTGTGAGTTGTGTACATTTTATATGCCACAGCATGTACATGGAAGTTGGTTTGTAAATTAGAAGTTGTACAGAAGGTTGACTATTTTTTTAAAGGTAGATCAGGAAGTAGAGTTTTAGGTGGGGTGATGGTAATGTAGAACAACTCTTGTAAATAGAGGAACCTACCTAGTAGTTGTCATTGTCATTTCCTATTCACACGGATGTGATATTTACATTCACACCATGCATGTTGCACTTATATCGAGGAAAGCACTGTCATATTTTTGGAAGGTGTCATGACCATATTTCTGCAATTTTCTTCCCCACCAGAGAAAGAAGGAAGAAAATTGAAGACATAAGAAGGAATATCCGAGATGCAATCTTGGTAAGTGGCCAGTAATAGCTAACTGTCCAATCTTGGGACTTTAAAGGCATGTGATAGCAACTCACTCTTTATTGCTGTGCAAAAAGTGTGGGATCTTGAGCCAAACCTGGCATTGGTCCACAAGCAGGTTACCCTTAGATCTTTGAATTACTGCTGAGGGTATGAATGAAGAGGGGAGTTGAACCCATTCAAAAGTCTGAGCACTTCTCCCTGTCATCGTACCTACTAAAGGTCCAGGGCCCACAGCATGTATGTTCCATCCAACCCCCAGCCCAGAACTTCCTACTGCCAACAGGCAAATGTTTTGCATACAAACGATTTTTGTTTCTGTTCTTTCGCTGTCGTTATCAGACGATAACAGGAGCAATGAGCACCTTAACACCACCCATTCAACTAGCAGAACCACAGAACCAATTCAGACTGGATTATATTCAAGATGTCTCAAGTTCACCGGATTTTGATTACCCGGAGGTAGTGTACCAGATTTTATTTTTTTTTAATCTTCCATCATTATTTTCATATTTTGTTTTCCGGTTTTTGTCGGAAATATGTTTTGTCTTATAATTCAGGGACTGTTGAGAACTGTTAAATCAATTTTGCAGGACTGTTTGTGAGAGTAAGCAGGGTGCTATTCACAGTGGTGTCTTCTTTCACACACTTTGTTGGCCTGTTTGGACTCCCTGGCATTTGTGTAAAAGAGTGACCAGTATCTCAAGTGCTGGTTAAATCTGTAATTGTGATGTGTACAAAAACTTCTGATAAGCCACAGAATGTTTCAACAAGGAAGGATGTTCAGTCTCTGCAGTGCACAAGGAGACTGAATAATTTTAAATATACTACTAAAAAAAGTTAAGGACCACTTTTTATTTTGTGCATACTTTTTGTATCGTATGAGATATTTTGCTGCTGAAAAAGTCCAGTACAACTGTCCTGAATAACCTTAAAAACACTGTAATCAATTTCACTTGTGGTTGGTTTCAGTTGCTGCATAATGTCTCCTGCATTTCTTAAAAAATTACAAGAAAAAAGTGGTCCTTAATTTTTGTTAGTAGTGTATATGGGCTCAAAAATTATAAAAGAAATAAAACAGTTCTGATATTAAAATTGTATTATACGCCCCTTCAACGTGGACCAGATGCGGCTTAGAAATTTACCATTCATGCCTTGGAGAAAAGACCTATGTGATTTATATGCCTGGTCCTTTGAAAATCACTCAGTCCTTCCCAAGGGATGCTGCACCTTTCTTCAGGTGCAACCGTTGTGCAAGGACGGATGGGTTTCGGCTCCAGAGATTGATCATTCTCGGCACAAGGTTTGAATTCATCATGTTCAGTCTGGCCACACCAGTGTCTCGCTGAACTGTTAAAATATGTCATTTAGGCAGTGGTAGTAATTGTAATTGTTTTGCGGTAAGTACAGGTGACTATAGTGTTCAGAGTCGGGAGTGCCTGGCAGTGCTTTAAGTTGTTTGTTCTCCTCCTAAAAAGACAGTGCTGTGGTCTGGAGGTTTTAATCTGCAGTGCGTATTTGCATGCATTGCCAAATGCAACACTTGTTTTTTTCCCCATCACGCAAAGCCCTGCCCGGTACTCCGTCTTCCTCAGTGGTTCCCTGTGCTGTCCACTCTTGGGAAAGACTTCAGCACATAAATTCAGAAGAAAGATTTATGAAATCCATAACTGTGTTACTTTTGTAGTAGAATCCTGTGATATACATGTAGTTTGGTAAATGATTGAAGCCAGAGAAAATAGACATGATATGGTGTGGGATCCACATACTGGAACAAAGGACCTTGGGCATGAGTAGCGTGCCCTAAGTGTCAAAGAGGGAGGGCGCACACCCCTGGCCATTCAGAAAATCACTGTGAACTTCTTCAATCAGCGGTCAAATGCGCTCACACTTATGATCTTAACCTCAGTCTTTCTAAGGTGTTTCAGACTCAAATTTCCAAAACTGATACCTGGTTCCTTGCAGATGTACCAGAAAGCCTCCAAAATGCCAATTGAAAAAATGCCCATGTTTAGTGGGTCAAAACTTGCAGAAAAGTTCATGTTTTTTGCAGAACTTTCGATGAGGAGTTTGGGCATCTCAAACCCTATCCATTCGTGCAAAAATCGATGAAAATAGTGTGGTCCCTGCGGGCTAGAAATAGCATGTCTTCAGGGAGTCTGGTGACCACATTTTTGTACACAAAAACGATCCATGCGCACAATGTGTGCGCAGTAGCCCGTTTCGGTCTGCAACACGTTTCGCTTGGCCTCTTTCCTGTTTATTGGGGATTTTCTGAATAATTCATCATGGTTATGTACAGAGCAGCGGAAAAAGCTGTATACAGACGAACATGAACAAATGGATTTCAATAGCGTCCGCTACGAATGTTATTTTGCTGGGCAGGGTGGTATTGACGAAACATGAAAAATACAGAAACTGATGGTACTCTTTCTGTAGTAGAAATCACTGCATTTTTTTACGTTCTGCATGAAGTTTTATGCTGCATATTTTGACTAAATGTCCAAGTCGGGAAGCGTATATACACCAATATGCACGTTATCTAAACCCCTGACTTGATACAGTGGATCGCACTTGGGGGAGGAATTTTTTCAATTTCTGTTCTGCCATAGAAGTAGAATAATCCAGTCCATTAAGGTTTTTAGAGTTCAGCCAAAGGGTTAGAGATGTAATCATACATGTACATGATAAAAAAAAAATCGTCATCCACTCTCGCAGAATAGCTGTGACATTCTGTAAGAAGCCTTGCCACAGATCACAGTGTACATGTACATATACGTGTACAGTGAAGTTTTTGCCTGGAAGGCCCATTAAACACAACCTTTTGGCTCCGGATATCATGTAGCCCAGCAAAGAAGTTGAAAAGAGAAAGAGAAAAAAAGGATTCGGGTCATATAAAAAAATAGCTGTGACATTCAGAACCACTCTAATTACCAATCAGAATAACATAAAAAGAAGCGAAATTTGACTCGCGTGTAATTGCAGGTTGATTTGTTCACACTTAATCCCTGTATGACCAATGCAAAATTATACAAGCGTGGCATTTAGAAAGCTGGGGGAAGAGGAGATTGGGAGGGTTACATGTAATCTGCCGGTGGATGAGCTTCCGTTACATGTACAATTTAAGCATACACCAGTCACATGACACTAAACAGAATATCACGCACGTTTAACCTTATGCCTAAATGTAAATTCAGATTTTGGACTGAGAATACATGTATCAGTCATTATCATTATTATTGCTTGCTCTATAAATTAGAGCAAGCAATGTCAAGACAGTGAGATCGGTACATGTACATGTATGTGCCGTCAGTGTGCACTTGTGGCAGAGATAAAATACTTGATATGGGTAACTCCAGAAAATAGGGGTCCAAAAGTGGGGTGGAAAAGTTGTACATGTATGCATAAATTGACATTTGTGTCCTCATTTAATGAGGCTCATCACCAGAGCAATTGCACCATCAATATTGAACTAAAAAATGCAGTAGAAAGCGGACTTTGTGTTTCCATAAATGTCACATTACTGAAGGAATAGCCCAGTGCACTGATGACTTTGCACAGTGTTAAACACAGAGCATAGTGGGATAGAAATAAGAATAGGGGCTTTGTTGTGGTGTACCTGACCTTCCTGTGCCATACATGTAAGAAGGGAAATGGGTCATTCTATAATTTGGGGTCCAATTTTTTCCTGTCCCCTTTAAATCTGCCTATGAATTTCTAATGTGTAATACTCATTCTTTAATTTCCAAGATTGAATACACAATGCAAATTACCAGCTAATCAAATAAAAATAGTTTGAAATCAATTTCAGTGATATACATGTATGCCTTGTCGAAGTATACAAGTCAGGTGTGACAATTACAGAAGAATGTCACATGTCGCTGGACCCCAAATTTATAGAATGACCCAACTGGCAGATCCATGTACCTGTACAAGTTACACTTGTTCACAAGAAACTGAAAGGTGCAATCTTATCCTTCCTAGTTGTGGAAGATCATTTCTCAGACAATTCACAATGATAGTTTTTTCTAGTGTTTCTACTGATTCAACACATTTTTCAGGTTTCTCAAATTTTAAATTCCAAATACACTTTCCTTAATCGTTTAGGACCTTTTGATAAAACTGTGGGTGTACATGTAAAGTTATAACAAGCAATGCGGGTTTACTGAGATTGTTGTGTTCAATTGAAGCCACCTATATATATTTCATTTTGATTTAAATCCACATTTTGGATTCAACACATAAATGAAGGATTCATAATCAGGACTTAAATTAGCTTTATTATTTTAAACTCTGAGTTGAATTTGGTAACAGTGTCAGAGTACAACTGTGTTTCCCTCACTAGGAAGAACCAGAGGGTAAAAGAAAATGCATCATGCTCATTTCGAGCAGTGCACAGAGTCGAGGATCTGTGCTCATTCATTTTGTGGAGACAAGTATAATTGACATTTAAACGAATGTCCAAGTTTGAGTGATATGAAGCATTTGCATACTCCACACTGTATACGTATGCGTGCACCAGTAGCAGGGGCGAACCATGTGAACACGTGGAGAGATTATCTGGCTTGAATATCTATGGGATATCCTCTTATTGAACTGTGTGCTCTTTTTTGAGGGTGGTTTTCAACCCCCCCCAACCATCATTGTGGCTCACTGATGTGGACAATACACCGTAGTTTCTTTTTCAGTCAATGGCTCTGTACAGTGTACTTTGGCTTTTGTGCCCCATTCAGCTGGTGGTTCAACAATGGTGGCGACCCTAATGCTATTAATGCTTTGCTATTTATAGCACTACGTTATTTATAGCAACCAGCAAGTTTACCTGGCATCATCATCAGAGATAAAAATAGCCTTTGGAGCACATGCGCACAGGTTGTAGCTTCCCAAGAGGAAATGCAGGGTCAAACCTATTTTCTGCATAAATTATTGAAATCCAAGTGTACATGTACATGTACATGGATAGTTCTGACAGACAAAAGCTGCATGCATTTAAGGGTAGTAAATGCCCATGCCACAGCTTTAAGACATCCCCAGATTGCCAGTTGTTGAATCAAATGGCATTGGCAGCACCCAGTGATGGCAAATCTAATCAACTTGAAACGAATGATATACATGTACAGTACACTTTACTGCTTTTGAAAGTTAGGATTTTTAATTTGGCAGAAACACATCACATACAAGTCAAGGCTCTTCATGAAAGTACAGAGCACCAATCACTGTCGGAAGTATGATTAAGCAGAGGCACCCAAAGACTTTTGCATGTCTACACGTACATGGCCTCATAGGCCATTTCCCCTAGTTTTTGTACCATCATTTCCTCCACTTGAAGATCAGTACACCTGTACTCGGAATATTTTTGTCAGGTGGTTGTTTTACCAGATAACCAGTACCTTTTTACTCGTTGCATCCAAACGGTTATTTATTCTCGCCGGTATGTTTTGCAGCAGAAGGCCCATTCTTAA